TAAAAAAAAAAAAAAAAAGAATTCAGTTTCAAACAGAACTTTTGAAACAAAGGACACTTCTTATTCCCTTTCAATATAAACTATCATTTAATTAACCCCCCCTTAAAATAACAGTTATGTTGAATGTTGGTTCAGAACTTTATCTAGAATTTTGACATTTCACATTTGAAACTTTCTGGACTTTTTTGTGCCACAAATGTTACAATATTTTCCCATTTTCATTTGAAATGGAAACTAATTTCAAAAGGCCAACATTTCTGTGGCACAAACATCTGTTCATTCAAGAGCTGTACTAAATATATAGCAAGTGGAATATTAACATCCTTTTGAATCTGACTACATTATTACTGCCATGTAAAACAAATATTGTCTCTTACTAAGGTTTTAGAATATTATGAGATGCATAAAAATGTATTTTCCCCTGCATTTTTTTTTTACTTATTTTGTGCTACTTCTTAGGTTTAATTTTCAAGATGAAACACCTACCACAAACTTTGATACTTTCCCTGCTGCCATCCTCACTGTGTTTCAGGTAAAGCTGCCTCTTTTATTGTGTATGCACTTGAAGGACACCTTCCTGAAATCTTTGTCTGTTCCATTCAAACAGAGATGTTTCATTAAGGTATTTGGAATAGGAAGGTGGAAACTAAGTTTTGTTTGCCCATAGTCTGCTGTTCCTTAGAGAAGAATATCTGTCTCTTGGATAATATATTGTTACCAGTAAAATCACCCATTAATCTAATAATCAAGAATTCTTTTACTGTAAAAATCTGTGTAAACCAGCAGCTCTGTTGAACGTTCGAAGGACTATATAAGGCCTTTTGGCATTCTTCTCATGGCCACTTCCACAGTACTATATGCTGTAGTAACATGGTTCACTTGTGACACCCTGCACCGCATCTATTTATTGTAGCACAAAGAATCCACTGAACATGCAAGACCTACTTCCGCTCCCTCTGGCATTTACTGACATTTAATGAAGAAAGTAACCTAAGTTTGGCCCAAGGCAATGAAGAAATAATGTAGCATTTTGCACTATAATGTTTGCAGGATAAGAGAGTGCCACATAAGAATTAAAATCAATGGGGGGCAAGGAAAGAGTCATCAGCCTTAGGCAACACAATGTGATGGTATGAGAGAACAGCAGTCCTGGGAGCTTTGTGACTTAGATTTTAGAGGCCTGATTCTGCCACTCATTGACGACACCACATCAGTATAACAAACACTACCCAAGCCTAGCTTTGGAGCCTGATCCCAGCACATTTTCTGTTCTTTCATACCAGGCAGTGAGCCAGCCTACTGGCCAGTGCATCAGCAATACTCCAATCAACATTGGTCAGTTGATCCCTTTTTCCAGTAATGCATTTATCGTTCAAGCAGATCAACAACAATTAAAACAAGCAAATTCATCCTGCCCCTGGCACCCTTCAAAGTCTTTTATCTTGGGAAGTGACTGATGATAACTTCCATCAGGTCTTACCTGTTGTAAAAGCTCCCCTCTCCCCCTACCCCTGACCAAAGCCTTTTGGCTCCTGCTGAAACTGGCTCCCTTCAGTTCTCCCTCTGAGCTTAGGCTGCCCTTTTCTTTTTTTGGCTAGGTCACAGCCTTCTACTATTACATCTCCACAGATTATTCCCTATTTATGGGAAAATGGCCTGGTATAGGGTACATCAGACTCCAAACTGTTACAGGGCCAACTTCCCTTGTGATAATCATGCATCACCGCTGAACCCTTTTCTGACTCGTGGGACCAGAGAAAGCCTTTGTGAACTGAATGCCAGGCATTGTATTGGGGAATATTATTTTATGGTAAATTGCTACATTTCTTTACACCAGTAGTCTTGTGGAAAGCTGCTTAGCACAGAGTATTTACGACCTCCATAAACACACAGAAGCTGTATAAACTAGAAAGATGTCTATTAACCATATACGGTCCACTACTTGAGAGCTGACTGCCACTTAAACAATTAAATGCTGCCAGCTGCTAAGATGTAGGTCTGATGCATGCCTGAAGGGATGTGGGATGGTAGAGGTGGGATGTTGCTGAACTTTGGTTCAGAGGAAGAACATACTGTTGAGCAGTTCAGGTCTGAGAATTCAAACCAATACTCACACTAATGACCCTCTGCTTTTGGATGAGTGAGCTGCATTCTTCTGTGAAGGGCTATTGCATAAATGGCTAAAGCTGGCTTTAAATCATTTTGCTTTCATTCAGGCCCCAATTCAGACAAGCATCTTCATTCAGGGTAGCACTTTAACCATGTGCTTAAATGCTTTCCTGAGTTGGCATCCTATCTTTGACGCTACTAGCACACTAATTAGTCTATTAATATTATGGAGCAGATCTTAAAAGCTATTTTAATTCCATTACTTGGTGACTCTTCAGCCAGTAGTAGTATTAAACGCTGAGAATTCCTGAACAAACTATTCACCAAAACCAATCTGGACTGTTTAGCCCATTCATCTTCTGAAAATGTTTCATAAGGCAGACAATTATTTTTGTTACTTGGTTCTCTATTCAGTATGATATGGCAAAAAGTTTATATAGCCTACGGCTTGTTCATAAACTATTCAGTGGAACTCTGGCTTGCGTATTTACTGACTGAAATTTGGTTTGCAACCTGTGATTGATTCCCTAAGTTACATGCCTTCCCTGCTTTCTGAATTAATGGATCCCCAAAATTCACAATGGGTTTTCTATTGACTCTTGAACACTTCAAGCTTTAATTGTCATGCTTATACCCATATATGCAAATATTTGAAGTGTTTTCTGTGAACATTTGTGAGAATAAAATCTGCTCTATGAATATTATTGGAAAGCAAACTTGGGAGCAGTTGCAAATATGTGGAATTCATTTGAACAAATGTTTGTGAAAATGCTTTTGCATAATTTATCACATACTAAAAGATGAGTGGCCAGATTCATATACACAGTCACCCATGTGTAAATACATAGCTGGGAATTATTTCAGATTTATGCTGGTCTATGACCATACTATACCCTTAGGAGTCATTAGGATCATTTTACTACATTTTACCTACTCTTGTGTCATCATCAGCATCACCATCATACCAGCAGCTAGAGTCATTTCCTCTCTCCAAGGAATATAGGCTGGAATTTGTGACTGTTTCTAGCATATTGTTTGCACGTGCTACTTGATTGCTAACAGTGCACCAGACTTTCTTTTTTCTCTTACTGAATAGAGACACGACTTCCTGTTTAGAAGTCTGAATTCCAACAGCTACTAGAATCAGCCATGCAGGGCAGTCAAAAATGAATGGTTTTACTACGGAATAAGCAACCAATAATTGTGATGAATTTTATTGTTATTCATTTACTTATTGTTAGTATGTTGTCAACCACTAAAATGCAGTGGGAGCTGCTCAGTTGGGGAAGATGGTTTATTCTCCCCGCCGGCAAAATGTGAAAGACAGTGTTGTTCAGAGGATGACCCACAGGACTGGGGATCGGGACACCTGGGTTCTGTTCCCAGCAGGTTGCTGCTTCTGACTCTTTAAATTCTGGCAGCTCTGAAAACAGCCACATGCCGGCTGGAGGCTGGCTCCTGCCTCTTGCCCTGTCCTCCCTCCAGACCTCAGGGCTGCACCCAAGAGAGGACCCCTCCACGGCAGCAGATAGAGGGAGCACAAAGTCTTTGCAGACTGGGTGGTTCTCTTCTTGTTTGTCTAGGGCAGCCAGGTGTGTTGCATCTTGTGCAGTAAAACTATGGCAACAGCACAGACTAACTCGTGCTCCTGTGGCTGGACCCCAGGGTGCTCTTGTGTTTCCTGAGCAGAAAGCCGGATGCCCTCTATACTTGCCTTCCATGCTTGCCTTCCATCCTGCTCTCACAAATGTCATTTGGGAGGCACATGAGAGCAGTAGCCAGTGAGGAAAGGGGAGGGTTTCACTGCTGGACTGTGTTCTGCCTCCATCACCTACCCCTAGGCTGAGCAGAGGAAATCCAGGACATTCATTTGGGACATCCGGGACACTGCATCCCCCTCCCATTGCACTCTCACAAATTGGTGGGGGCGGGGTGGTGTGCTGGGTAGTCACCAGTGCCTGCCTGCCCACCTGCAAAGTGCTCTGTGCCACTCCACCTCCCAACCTGACCGCATCCCACACTCCTGAGTTTCTGGGACACCTATTGTAATTTTCAGCAGGCAGCCAGGACCAGCCTCTGAAATCTGGGACTGTCCCAGCTAAACTGGGACATATGGTCACCCTCCCTATGTCCCACCCTTCCTAGCTACCTCCCTGTCATCCCATGCACCTCCCAGTTCCCCATGTAGGACCCCAGCTATCAGTCATGTCAGCACCTCCCGGACACCTTTCGGTTACATCTGGTAAACTGCAGGTATCCCTCCAAACCATCAACTCTCACTCAGGATAGGATCCCCCAGCTTCCCCAGACACTTCTGTCAGCCAGCATAGGTCCTTACCAGAAGGCATCTGCTTGCACACAGAGAGGCCTTTAATTTCTCACTCTCAACTTTGGCAAAGGCAGGTTCTAGATATATTCCACGCGTTCCTTCTTCTCTGCCGTGTTCTCCGTGCAATGCACTAATGGAGGGGGTGGGCTACTAGGTGTCCCCTTAGAAGGGAGCACAAGAACAGCAGCCGCTGCCAGAGTGGAGAGGGTGATAGTTAGCATCTCTGGGGGAACGAATGGCTGTCGAGCTGGAGATCGAGTGATCTGCATACCTCCTCCTCTCCCCGCTTCACAGGACAGAAATGAGAAAGGAAACACAGAGAGAAGCAGTGTTCATAGCTTTGGCAGCAGTTGGATGCAATAAATAGGGCTTCAAGGAAATCGGGGGCACAAGGAGTTCGACTCCCTGTGCTGTGTTGGGATTTTTACCTTCTTTGCCCAGTCAGGGCATTGGGTTTGGAAGTCAGTAACTCTTTTCCTGCTACAGGAAAAGTCACATATGGTGCAGCAGAAACCTTGGCCTGTGTGACAGGCTTATAGAAAGGAGTGGGAGATTCTAAGGGCGGTGCAGGCAGAGATGTAAAGGAGGTCAGCCCCTACCACTTCAGCAAGCTGGCTGTCTGCACCCGGCCCCCAGCCCTCCGTGTTGAAGTATGGATGCTACCAGACAGCAGAAAGCAGATGGCTCCAGAAAGAAGGAAGACACTCTGAGGTGGGACTAGAGCCAGAGAGCCACCATGAAGTGGTGCTGCTAGTTGCATCCTGCCCGGTGGTGCCTGCTTTGGTCCTCAGAGTAAACCACACCTGTTTCTATTGCTTTTCTGGACAGTCAAATCCTAATTTTTTGGTTCCTGAGGGTTGGATGGGTTGATCCCTTAATCCAGATTTAATCCCTTCTGTGACCCCACATACTGCCTCAGCTAGCTGGAAGGTACTTTCTGTATCCCAATATGTAATATCTACTTTCTCTTCTGAATCTCCTGAAATCATGGTATTATTTTGGTTTTATCTAAGCTGAATTAGTTTAGGCTGCCTACATCTGGAAATGTATTGTTTGGAGTTCTCAGAAAGGATCTAGCCCTGTGCTGTTTAAAGGATGCAGGAAAAGATGCAGCCAGTTCTGGGCAGAGAAAGGGTTGCAGAAGTTACAGATACTGGCTAGGCAAAAGAAGGCCGAGTGGCCTGAGCGCGTGTCACACATTTCTACCAACTCTTTTTCCCATAATTTTCTCCTAGGAGAGAAAGCTACATACAACTGATGTTTCAGTACTTCAGTCCTTGCATCAGCCTCTCTCCTCTTTTTTCTCCAATTACTCTCTGCAGATACTGACTGGTGAAGACTGGAACGCGGTGATGTATCATGGGATAGAGTCACAGGGCGGTGTCCACTCAGGAATGTTCTCTTGCATTTACTTCATCGTCCTGACATTGTTTGGTAACTGTATCCTTGCCATTTTGAAATGAATTTTCAGGGAATGTCAGGCAATCTCCTCACCCGCAAGTCAAGCATACAAGGTGCCTCGACCTCCTGAAGCACGAAAGACAATGCAGTGCAGAGGGATAGCACAAAGGGTTGGGAGTCAGGACACCTGAGCTCTATTTCATTTCTGCTGCTGGCTCTCTGGATGACCTTGAGTAAGATGCCTAGGACTTGTCCCTGCACAGCCATGCTCTAAGCACTAACTAGACTAACAACAGGTAACTCTAATAGTAAATACTGCAATGGGAGGTATGATTGCAGCACAGTAGTGTGAGCGAGCTCAGCAAGCTTTCATCTAGCTAATTTGGAAAACAGTGTAGTGAAGATGCAGTAACATAAGCTTCAGCACAGGGGGGTACAAACCAACCAGAGATCATGGGTACCTGCACAGGTGGTTGAAGCTTGCATTGCCTTGGCTTTGCTTCTGCTGAGCCTGTACGAGCAAGATTAAGCTGGCTGTGGTATGCCTATACGTGTAGTACGCACTGCTCCCCATCGCAGTGCAATCAGAGCTTTAATCCATGTCCATTCACATCTTGTTTTTTCAGTACAAAGTTGTGTGTAGACTCTCTTACTTCAGATTTAGTGTCTTACTTTGATTTAGCCTAGATTGAGAAGAATCATTGGATGTCATTTGAACTGGGACCCTCTCAATCTGCCCATGCACATTTTGCACTGAATCACCAACGAAGTGTGAAGAAACCATTTTAGTTATACTGGTACATGCTTAGGTGTAAACTGGACCCCAGTTTCTCTGTACTTTGGTTTGTTTCTCCATCTGTAAAGCAGGGATAAGAATGCTCATTGTTGTAAGGCACTTCCAGCTATGTGCGTGACAGGCTATGGAGAAGTGCAAAGTAACCTTATCAGACTAGACAGTCGCTCCCACCTGAGAGACCATTGGGTTCAGCAACCTTCACTCCAGTTCAGCAAAGGGCTTTTACTGGCAAATCCTGTTAAAGGGAGGAGTGGGGAAAAGAGCAGTCTTGAGACATAGCGTATAGAATCATTAAGGCTTCCACTTTTGAAGAAAGGTAAGAAAACATGGACTCTATCGTATATTTGTTGTGCAGCAACACTACAGCCCTTTCCTCTTGCATAGTCCCCCTTATTCTGTGTGAGGAATTATGACAAGGAGCCGCGGATTATATGGCACCCAAGTTGTACTTGTCATTTAAGTGGCTCTCCTCGGAATTACCCAGCTGTAATTCACTCTGTCAGTGAGTAGCAGGAGCTGCTACCCAGAGACAGACCAGGTTTCTGCAGTCAGGCATCTACCTCATGCAGTGCAGTATGCAACTCTAGAAATGCAAAAACCAGGACAGCAGGTTGGGGGAGTGGGAGGACAGAAGAATATCCCTAATTCCTTAGGGCATGGCATTTGAAAGTGAGATTAAACTATAATTAAGTTGACTGAGAGAGAGAGAGAAAGAGACCCACTTCTAACCTGAAAGAGACTGCGTTCTAATGTTTTTAAAAACCACAGATTCCATTGCTATCTTGCTCATCCTCTTATAAAAAGAGTAGTTTTTATATGGTTTGAGTCTTCGCTTCTACCAATGCAGATGTAACTCCACCAAATTTGGTAGTGACACCGGCGTGACACTTCTGTAATGGGCAGGTGGATCAGAACCATAGTATTGTTTCCAAGTAATATCATTCAGTCTGAAAGCAACTGAGGGCCAGATTCTGTCATCTGCACCATCCCTTTCAACGCAGTGCTGGTGAAGACAGGGCCAATTCTTAGAGAATTCCCCCAGCCTTGACCAATATGAGCAGGTTTCTGAGACAGAGGCTGCTAGAGGCAGCAGGGGATGTGGTTGGAGCGTTATGCTGTAGCTATTTGTCATTGCAGACAGCTGTACAAGGCTACTGAAAGTAAGAGCAGCTCTTGAGCGTAGCTTAACATGCATCTGGAGCTGCTCTAGTCGTTGGAGTAGTCCAGGACCAGGCAGGTACAAAATCCTTAGTGATTCTGCAAACTGTCAAAGAGCTGTCCTCTTTTCATACTTGGGAAAAGTCCTTCCCTTTATGTAATGCAGTGAGGGCATGTGTCAGTGAAGAAGGGGAAATGCTGATCTTCTCTATATTAATGCGATTTTTGCTTCCATGCTACACACCCCATCAGAATCACAGTCCATGTATATTCTGGCCAGCCTTCAATATCCGTGTGTAAGAAGGCCCACTCCTTACATCTCATTTCCTTTTGGTGTCAACTGTTCCTGATATGTATCTCTTCTTCCGCTTCCCTTCCACACTCTCCCAGAAGCAGATACCATAAAGGGATGCTTTGAAATGTTTTACCCTGTCACATTTTTATTGACGTCATTTAATCTATGAAATGTTTTTTTCAAGGTACAGGACAAATTGGATGGGAAAGAGATAGTGTAATATAACAGTCATTATATCAAGTACTTGAACATGATCAGCTACTCTGTTATCTGGATGGGCTGAGTACTCCTAACCATCATAGTTTTGCATATAAAGAGGACTTCATGCTGTGGAACTAAACTACTCTTAAATTAAAGTTCCATTTCAACTGGCAGAGGATTCCATATGGAGCTTGCACTTGGGGGAGAACATTTTTAAAGAAATTTTAATAACTCACTCTCACTATATTTATATAATCTCCCTTGCAGCTTGTCCAAGAGAGAGACACCAACACTTTGCTTCATTTTTCTATTGCCTGCAATCTGAACTGCTTGCGACACACCCTGTAATGAAGACAGAGGGATCCTTGGGCACTGTATACATTTGTCAAGTTAGATATGTCATGTGTAAGTCTTTAATTCTGTGCGAATACTGCGGATGGAATGAGTTCACTGCGGTAGAGGTTCTGCATGCATGAACTACATGGAGAAAAGAGCTAGCTGGATAATGTTTATGACATTAAGAAAACCTACTGTAACAGGTAGCGGTGCACTAATACATTGGTCCCATATTGGATCAGCACCAATATAAAGAAAATTAACTGTATCAGCAATTGGCTTTTTTGGCTGATGTGGCCAATAATGTGGTCAATGTGGCAGTGCAGCACAGAGGCCCTCAGGAGCCTAGACAGGGGTATGTGCAGCAGCGGGAGCTGCCTCCCCACCCTGCCCCTCCGGGACGAGCCACTTGTGGCTCTGTCCTATGCCCCACCCCGGCTGTGTAGAGCCTGCCCCTGCCCCAGCCCCAGCCCGACTCTCTCCCTCACCGTGGAGACTTCAATCTCCCTCCCCCTTCCCTCCCCATCCCGCACAACAAACTTACCAGCCAGACGTTGCTTTACAAGCTGCCCAGCTGCATATCGACTATCGGATCAGTATCAGCCAATATGGTTCATTAAAAATCGGCCATCGGTATCAGCCCCAAAACTCTATCGGCGCACCCCTAGTAACAGGGCTAATTCATCCTAATGAACTTTTTGACCCAGATTCTGATGTTAGCCCCCAACGGATGTTGTAAATTTGGAGGAAATCTGTTCACCTCAAAGGAGGTTCTCCAGATCCACACTGGTAAGTCACATCAGGATCTGACCTGTTTGGTCAGAAATCTGTGACCCTAAGTATTTTTGATCAGTATAAAGTAATACAGTAAATTTGGAATTATCTCCCTCTGGCCCCCACCCCTTCCAACATGTGACTTTCTCCCCAATTAACTTTAATGAGAACCTGTCCAGAAAGGGACAACAGGCATAGAATTGCTTTAAAACATTTCCCCCTTGATTACGATGGCAATAGCAGTAGTAAATCCATTAGTACTCATGCTGATATTTCAAAGAGAATTGCAGCAAGGTCGCTGCTATCTCTGTCTTTCATTGAGTAGAATTAGTAATGCTGACGGCATGCAGAGAGCATTCTTTTCTTGTGAGAGGGGAAAACAGAACCATACAACTTTCAAATGGCTTCAACCATCATTTCCTGTCAGGCAAAACATTATCAGAAATGTCTGAAAATGAACTTTAAGTTTAGTTTGCAAAAAAAACAACCCTCCCCCCCTCCAAAAAAACCCTTCTCATCCTTTTGTTCCACATTAAACAGTTAGTGGTACAAGTGTGTTTAACCTGCTGTAACAGAATAAAGGCTCTTCTATACATGCAAGTATAGGTGCAATGGGATCTAATGCATGATCCACACAATTGTGCTTCCTGCCTTGTCACATGTACATGGCAAGAGGCATGATTGTGGGATCGTGAATCGGATCCCATCACACCATATTGCCTGTGCAGGCAGAGCTTAATCCTGGGCTCCCTCTGTGCTGGCAAGAAGCAAGTTCCCGCATCTGGGAGCCACCTCAGCTGATGGGGTTCCCAGCTGTCAGGGTGCACCATGCCCCTCCTTGCTGGGAGACCACAGCAGCTGGTTTCCCTGTTGCAGGGGTGCATAAATTGCCCCTACAGCTAAGAGATCACAGCACCTACAGTCTCCCAGATGCAGGGGTGCATGATGCTCCCCTGTGGCTGGAAGAGCACAGTAGCTGCAGTCTCCCAGCCACAAGGGTGCGTGGGGCATCCCCATGGCTGGGAGCCCTGTTAAGTGATGGGGCTTTTAGCTTCAGGGATACGTGCTTCTGCAGCTGAGAGCTCTCAGGCTCAAGGGTGCATGTGGTGTTCCTCCCCCCTGCTCCCCCCCAGCTGGGAACTCCAGTCAGCTGAGGGGGTCCCATCTGCAGAGGCACAGGCAACACATGCAAATTAAAGCTGGATAGAAACCAGTTATAAAGTTATTACATTTTCCAGCAATAACTTTACAGCTGGTTGTACCTTTTTAAGGCACTATACTTAATTTGCACAGGTAGCCAGTATTATTTGTGCAATTAACCAGGTACCATATTTCATGGTATATAGATTGAGTTTTGACACCCAATTTTTAACTCTTAAAATTCGACCTCGACTTATCCACTGTATCACCATCCCCTGCAAGTGGTGCTGGGCTCGGCACTCAGCTGGCATGGCCCAGGCAGCGCCGCTTGCAGGGGAT